GATTAAATTTTTTTTATATATTGATATAATAATTATTAATTTGATAAATATTAAAATAATAAAAAATAATATTTAAAAAAATATATAATTTTATATTTAAATTTTGATTTAATAGTACTTATATGAAAACAATTAGATTAAATTTTTGTTATATATTGTTATAATATTGATATAATATTTATTAATTTAAAAAATAATATTAAATAAAAAAATCTAAATTGAAATTAATTATTATTTATATTTAATTAAAATATTATATTATAAATTATTTTTTAGGAAATATGAATAATAATTAATAATAATAAAACATTAATAAAATTTTATGAATTAATTGTCTATTAATAATGTTATATACACTGTAATGTGTAGTGTATTTTAATTATAATTAATTACACTGAAAAATGTCTATCTATGAGATTACCTTGATAAATTATACTAAACGGTTATCAATATATATATATATATATACATAAAGTTGGGGTCTATAGAGTAATCATCAGACAGTATGTAACAAATATATTACACTTTTATGGCTATATAAGCACTGAGATTCATATGCTATATCACATACACATACATACACACACACATACATACACACACACACACACACACACATACACACACATATATATAAATACATACATACATACACACACATACATACATAAACTCACACATACATACATACATACATACATACATACATACATACATACATACATACATACATACATACATACATACATACATACATACATACATACATACATACATACATACACACACATACATATATAAACTCACACATACATACATACATACATACATACATACATACATACACACATACATACATGCATACATACATACATACATAATCTCACACATACATACATACACACATACATACAGACACATACATACTCTCTCTCTCTCTCTCTCTCTCTCTCTCTTATACAATATGTCTCTTAATATCATTGTCTAACTCATTCACTTACACTACTATATAATAATTGAAACGATAGATAACTTTAAGCGTATAATAACTATAATCTAAATTATGTTCAGCTTATATCCAGTATTATACTATAATTTAATATTATTATTATTATTATTATTATACTCAATGACATACACTATCATATAGTACTGTATATATGGTTTATAAAAAAAAAAATTGTGAAATGTGTTGATTAATTAACATCATCTATTGTCTGGACATTAATATACCGTAAATGTCTATGTAATGTGTTTGTTGACACACATACACACATACATACATACATACATACATACATACATACACACATACATACACACAAAAATACAAACTCACATACATACATACATACACATATACACATATACACATTCATACATACATACATACATACATACATACATACATACATACATACATACATACATACATACATACATACATACATACATACATACATACATACATACATACATACATACATACATACATACATACATACATACATACATACATACATACATACATACATACATACATACATACACACATACATACACACACACATACATACACACATAATTACATGTACATACATATTTTATCAACTATATATAAATTTAGTTGACAAGTTTGTCATAAAGTATATTATATACTATTATATAAATTTTTTGTTTGTTATAGTAATAATAATAATAATAATAATTGTAACAAATATTGTAACAATTAATTTATATTAATTAAATTGTTAAATAAATTATTAAATATACAATTTCTAACAAATTAAAATTTATATATATTTTTTTCTCATTATAAATAATTTTTTAAAAAACCATATTTTAATATTTCATGCATTTTTAATACATTTATATATATATATATATATATATAAAGAAATAAAAATTTTAAATTAATAAAACAAAAAAATAAATATAAAATATTTAAATCATTGAAAGTGTGCAACAAAAATAAAATTAATTAATTAATTTTGATTTTAAAAATTTATATTCAATTAGCAATAAAATTAAAATAATAAAATAATTCAATAAAATGTGTTTTTATTTTATTTTTTTATTGTTGTATCTAATAAAATATTTAATCTGTATTATTATTTAAAAGTAAATTTAAACTAAGTTTATGTTATTTTATTAATTAAATTTAATTAACACATAAAATGATTATCAACTTTATATATATATATATATATATAAATATATTTCTAGCGCTTAACAATTTATATTTATTTATTTATTTGGTATTTTAGAAAAATAAAAAATAAACTAGGTTAACTTTTTCAACTATAAATAAAACATTAAAATGCATAATACATCCAAACATATATATAGATTGAAATATACAGTATATATATATATACATATAATGTATTTAAATTAAATACAAAATTTATTATTATATATTATTTATATAATATAGTTATTTATTTATATATATTTATATGATATATAAAGTTATATATTATATATATTTATACAGTACTTACCAGCAAACGGCAAACGTGGCCACAGCTATGGCTAACCTGAAAAATAATGATAAATTAAATAATTAAAAAAAATAATATAAAAAATTTAAATTTTTACAAAAAAAATAATTTTCAATAAATAAATTAATAACTATTTATTTAAGTATTTTTTATAGGAAAAAATAATTTATAATAATTATAATGATAATTGTTATTAAATGATTATGATAATAATAAAAATAATATTATTATTATTATTATTATTTAATATATATTAATATAAATTAATTGTCATTTAAAAAAATTATAGTTTTATATTTAATTGCACGCAAAATATTTGTGTGTAAAATAAAATGCCAAATGTTTTGCAATCATTATCTTAAATAATAATAATAATAATGAAAAATAAATAAAACAAAATACAATACAAAGCTTTTTATGTTTTTAACACTAAAAAAATATAAATCTATTTTCTTTTAATTTTTTATTTTTATTATTGAAATTATATTATCTATTAGTTGTTATTATAAATCATTATAAACTAAAAGCGTCGCTATTTATCTTTATATATACTRTATATATAATAAAAATATTATTATTATTATTTAGTTATATATATATATACTGTAAGAGTCTTATAGTATTAAGTTTTTTATTATATTATTTTTGTTTATAAATATAACAGATTATTGTTATTATTATTATTATTATTAATGATAATAGATTGACATATATTTTACATATGTTTTTTCACTGATAATTATAGATATAAATATTTTTTTATTAGAAAAATATTTAATATCCAAATATTATAATTATTACTATTTTTTCAAAAAATTAAATATTTAAAATAAATAAATAATATACCAAACAAAAATGTTGTATTAATAATTTTATTTTTTAATAAATACTATTAAACTAAATTCAATAAATATTTTTATTTTATTGATTACTATTACTAATTTAACACTTAATAATAAATTTTTATATTTTATTACATCAACAAAAATAATAATAATAATAAATATTTTATGGGCTTTCAAGTATAACCGCAATATATAGACCACTAATAGAAATTCAATATTCAATTATCGCATATATATATATATATATAATTATATATACTGTAAATAATATGTAGACAATAATTGTTAAAACAAAAAACAAAACATATATTAAATATATTATTATCATTATTTTGTAACAATATATAGACTAATGTATATATTGATAATACAATTTTTTTTTTCATTTTAAATGTGAAATAAAAAAATAATACTAAAATTTTTTTGTTGGTGTTATCTATTTGGTGACTAAAATCAATTATTCGCTGAAATAGTGTAAATAATAAAAACAAATAAAATCAGTATATATATATATATATATATATATACTGTATATATACGGCAAATACATTGTACAATAAATTATTGATTATTTTTTTGTGTATTAGATTTGTGTCTAATAAAAGATAATAAATAAAATAAAATAAAATTTTCAGACAAAATAATAATAATAATAAATTAGTAATATATTTACAACAAATAAAAAAATCAATTTTAAATATGATTAATATTATTATTATTATTAGAAAAATTAATTATCAGATTTTTTTTATCAATTAATCAATTATTTTTTTTAAAAAAGAGATTATAATAATTATAATAATTGCTCTAAAAATGAAAATATATTTTTTTTGCAAAAATACATACAAATAATGATAATATACTTCACATAACAATAATTAATATATTAATTAATAATAAAAATTAATTATTTTTTAAAATAAAACAGACAATCAAACAAAATTCAATAAATAAATTCAATTAAATCATATTTAAAAAAAATAATTTTTTTTAAAATAAATATTATACTAATATACTAATGAACATATAAGAGATATCAAAACAAACAAACATTCAAACCCTCCCCACATCACCCCAATCACCCCCAATAACAACCAAAAAAAATATACAAATATATTAATAAACATATATATATATATATATATATATGAGATATCAACAACAAAAAAACACATTCAAACCCAACCTACCTAACCCACACCCCAACCACCCCCACCAATAACAACAACAAAAATAATAATACTAATCAATACATACATAAATATACGCCTCCTTTTTTATACAATAAAAATTATATTAATATACTAATAAACATATGAGATATTAAAACAAACATTCAAACCCTAACCAACCCACACCCCAACCACCCCCACAAACAACAAAAAAATTATACAAATATACTAATAAACATATATATATATATATATATATATATATGAGATATCAACAACAAAAAAACATTCACACCTAACCTACCTAACCCACACCCCAACCACCCCCACCAATAACAACAACAAAATTAATAATACTACTAATCAATACATACATAAATATACGCCTCCTTTTGGCCTCCGATTGTCTACGTTTTCGTTCATCGCTTAACTTCCCAATCAGTTTACCTTGTTTAGATATTATCCAACCAATCTTAACATACATAACCATTGTTATGGACAATGGTAACAGATATTGTGTAATCACTATCTCCAGCGACAGGAACAACATCAATGACCTGAGGCTAACCGATCCGCCAAACATCTGATAGTTTGGTCGACAGCGGACCTTACTTTCCCCGTCGACCAACACATTGGTCAGTCGATTGAAACCCGCATGYGGTAGGGATAGGGTACCGGCCAGTAGCCATACGCAGCCGACAGTGGCGGCAATTTTTCCGGGTGCAAACGTATGGGTTGTCCGTTTCTGGGTTACCGTAACCAATCGATGGACGGCTATTACGGTCATCGTTATCGTAGATACATATACACACGATACCTGTACAAACGGTACGGCAATACATAGTACCTGACCGAATGGCCAGTCCAACAGTAGCAGTCGGGCCACATTAAACGGTATGTTAAACCCGGTCATAACAATGTCCGAACAGGCCAGGGATGCTATCAACATGTTGGTTGTCGTACGCATATCTTTCTGGCCGAAAGCAACCTTACAAACCAGTAGATTACCGCACAGGGAGACCATAATGATCAGGGAGTAGCATATGATGACCAACGGTGCCGATACACCTTCGGTTTGTATTGAAGATGTTTGGTTACCGCCACCGACCGGGGATGAGATATTGATAGTTAGGATTGTTTGGTCGTCGGTGTCGGTGTCGGTGCTTGACATGTGAGACCCGGCAGCACCGGTAGCCGCCAACAGTATAGTATTGCTAATGTTTGCTGCTATACGATAGGTTAGTTGGTTATCATCCTCATCATCGCTCATGTAGCTAATGTCAGTGGTTGTTATCATTGTTGTTGTTGTTAGTGGTGTTGGGTGTGTGTGTGTGTGTGTGTGTGTGTGTGTGGGCACCGGTATGTTGGTGTTGTTGCTATTGATTTTGAAGGTCACGGACACACCACACGGTTAGGTAGTTATTGGTTGTTATTATAATTATAATAATTATTATTATGTAATTCAGTATAACATATATAACGGTATAATACAGTCTATTATGTTATTATTATATAATATATTTGTTTTATWTATATATAAAACACACAAACAATGAAAATATTGATTTACTGTTTTTTGTTTAAAAATTTATATTTAAAAAAATTATTATTATTATTATTACTTTATTATTAGATCATTAAATAAAACTAATTTTATATTATTATTAGTTTTCAGTATTTTTTTTTGTTGTTGAATTAATTATTAGTAATATTTTTGAATAAAATATTTTATAATTTAAGTAATTAAATAATAATAATAATAATAATAACTGTAATTTACTTACAAATAAATTATTTTTTTTAGTGAATAATATTTGTTTGTTTTAATTTAATAAATGTGTTGTTATTATTAATATAACAAACAAACAAAAAAAGATTATAAATATTTTATTATATTTTTTTATTATTATTAAATGTCAAAAATAGTATTATTATTTTTTTGTTGTTGAATAAAAACAATAGAAAATTTCCACAAAAACTTGCCTTAAATTTATTTATTAAAATTTAGTTTTATTTAAAAGTTTATTATTATTATTATTATTATTTTATGAATATATACATTATACACTGTATATTGTTTTGCCAACAAAATTCATAGTAACAATATATATATATATATAAAATGTATATACTRTATATATATATATATACTCAACAATACTATGATAATAAATTATGTTAAAATAAATTTATATATGGGTTTCAAAAAAAAATAAAATAAAATAATAAAACACAACTAAAGTCACAAACACATTATATTTAATAACTTTAGTTTAAAATAATTTTTTTATTATTATTATTATTTAACTTTTCAATATATATATATCCAAGTTTGTTTTTATTTTTTATAATTTATTTATTTTTTTTTTTATTTTTTTTGTTTTTTTCACATTTATTTATAATATTAGTAAGTCTAGCCTCATATTTGTTTAAAGTATATTTATTATTATTATTATTATTATTATTATAACAGATATAGACTTATAGACAAATGGCTATATATTTGCTGATCTAATCATATATTTTATTCACAAATTTTTTTTATATACTGTATATACAGTATATATTTATGTATGAAATTTCAAGAATATTCTGTRTGTGTGAATAATATATTATTATTATTATTTTACAGATATATATATATATATATATATATATATATATATATATATATATATATATATATATATATATATATATATATATACATATATATATATACATATATATAGTATATATAAATTTATATAATAAATACTGACTAATAGTAAAACAAACTTTTATTTTTGTTGTTGTCGTCGCTATTATTATTATTATTATTATTATTATTATTATTATTATTATTATTATTATTATTATTATTAGTAGTAGTAGTAGTAGTAGTAGTAGTAGTAGTAGTAGTAGTAGTAGTAGTAGTAGTAGTAGTAGTAGTAGTAGTAGTAGTAGTAGTAGTAGTAGTAGTAGTAGTAGTAGTAGTAGTAATAGTATTATTGCTGAACTCTACAAAACAATTATATTTAGTAGAAATAAAAGTTAGTATTAGTTTAGTATATATATATATATATATATATAATACAGTATAATATCCCTAAGATATAGTGTCAATAACAAAAATAATAACAATATATATATATATATATCAAACAAATAAAGTAAAAAAAAAACTTTTTTTTTATTTCTCAAATTACTTACTTATTTCATATATATATATATATATTTAATATTATAAATATCTCATATTAAATATGAATATATTATCAATATATATATATATATATATAGTATATGTATATTGAATAGTACTTAAAGTATTTATTAATAATAATAATAATAATAATACTGTATATTATATTTGTGACACAATATTATGGGTCAATACTATTCAATATAGAAATATATGAATAATAATAATAATTAATATTATATTTATTATTAATATTGATTGAAAATTGTATTAATAATATACTGATATTATAATTAATATTATAATACTTTAGGTATTTTATTATTATTATTATTATTATAATAAATATATGTTATAAATAAAATAACAAATAAATTTATAAGTGTGTTATCAATGCCATTTAAATAAAGTRTATATAAATTTTATATGTATATAATATTTTTAAAAAATCAATAACAAATAAAATTATATATATATATATATATATATATATTACAGACAACAAAATATTATTATTATTATTAATATATATATATATATAAAAAAAACTTGTGATAGATATTATATTACAGTATATGAAACTATACACAAAAAAAAATTTTTTTTTGATTGATTTATAACACTATAACATAAGTATACAACAAAAACAACAAAATCCCAAAACAAAACTACATATATATATATCGTAAACACAATTATTTACTTATTTTTTTTTTTGGTGAACATATAGTTTATCTCACATTTTTTATTATTATTATTTTTAGAGAGAGAGAGAGAGAAAAAAACAATATATTAAAACTATTTATWTATATATATATTTGTTGTAAACTATCCAAACATATATATATATATATATATATATATATATATATATATATCCAAACAAAACACAATTTATAGGATCAGTGATCAGTCAGTGCCAGAAAAAATTAAAACACGACTAAACCGGAGACAACGACACCTCATATATATATATATATTATATAATATATATTAAATATATACATATATATATATATATATATATAATCACATAACTAGACAGTCATATACACTATTAGGTGAGTGACTGACTGACTGACTGTTTGTTTTGATGTCTCTGTTAAATAAAAAAAAATTATGGATTTTTTTTGTGGTGTTATATCAGTATATTATTATATATAATACACAAACTTTATTAATATATTTATATACACACAAAAAATATATATAATTAATAATAATAATAATAACAATAGTCCAGTTCAATCACCAATGTGTAAAAATTAAGTATCCATCACATTTATTAAAAATAATATAGATATTATATATATTTATTTAAAATTAAATACAGAATATTCTGTATAGAAATATACTGTATATATATATTTAGTTAATGGTAGACAACAACACATATACGGACACACAATGTGTTATCAAAACGATAATGTATTTGTGATAATATACAATAAATTTATTTTTAAAAATATTATATATCAATATAAATACTGTTTATAAATAACACTATTTATTAGAAATTATATAATTTTTGTTAACAATATATTGTAAACACAAATCAAACACTTAAAAAATATTTTTTTTAAAAAAGTTTTACCAATATTTTTACAAACATTCATAGAGTTTATATATATGTATACAGAATATTCTTGTATTTTATTTATTAGTTATTATATAATAAAAATATCGGTATTTCACTACTGGATTATTAACAGAATATTCTCTCTCTCTTTCTAAATCTCTCTAATAATGATTGTGTGTATACTTTATATATAGTATTTATATGTGTAATACTTGTATGATGTTATCAATTGAAAAATCACTGATTTTTATAGCGCATGTGTGTGTGTATATGTGTGTATGTGTGTGTATGTGTGTGTATGTGTATGTATGTGTGTGTGTATGTGTGTGTATGTGCGTGTATGTGTGTGTATGTATGTGTGTGTATGTATGTGTGTGTGTATGTGTGTATGTGTGTATATGTGTGTGTATGTGTGTGTATGTGTGTGTATGTGCGTGTATGTGCGTGTATGTGTGTGTATGTATGTGTATGTGTGTGTATGTGTGTGTATGTATGTGTGTGTATGTATGTGTGTGTGTATGTGTGTATGTGTGTATATGTGTGTGTATGTGTGTGTATGTGTGTGTATGTATGTGTGTGTATGTATGTGTGTGTGTATGTGTGTATGTGTGTATATGTGTGTGTATGTGTGTGTATGTGTGTGTATGTGCGTGTATGTGCGTGTATGTGTGTGTATGTATGTGTGTGTACATGTGTGTGTATGTGTGTGTATGTGCGTGTATGTGTGTGTATGTATGTGTGTGTATGTGTGTGTATATGTATGTGTGTATTAACTAAACAACTGGTATAGTATTCAATGCACATATTCATTAGATATTATATTTTATAAGTTTTACATTTTATAATATAATAAATATATACAGCAAAATTAAGCTAAAAATTATATTTTATTATTATGTAAAATATATAATTATATATTGATATAATGATATAATGATTAATTGAATGAAAAAAAATATATATAATCGTTGAAAATATATTGTGTAATTACAAACATTTATAATTTTCTTTACTAGAAATTTTTTAATTATTGTTTAGTATTTATATTTTTAATGTTAAATTTTAAACAAAATATTTCTTTAAGTAAATTATTTAGAATTTTTCAAATAATATAAATATTTATAAATATAATGTGTATTTATTTTGTAAAAATTTATATTTATTTATATAAATAGTTATTTTATTTTTTTAGTTGTTAAATAATTTACTATTATAACGACATTGAATTAGTAATAAAAATTACTATTGAAAATAATCGCAAAAATTTAAGCAAAAAAATAAATAATAAAAAAAATAAATTAAGTAATAAAAATAATATATAATTATAGACTAAACAAATTGAGACATTGATAATTAAAATTTATCATTATATATATATATATATTTATATATAAATATTTTTGAAAATAAAATAATTTTAATATTATTATTATTAAATAATTATTATTAGTCAACTGTATACTGTAGAATAAACTAACAAAAAAAATAATAATTAAATAATTAAGTTTCATCAATGGATAACAAATAAAAAAAAATTGTAAGTATTTTATTAGA